ACTTCTGTGGAGCCAGACAGAGTTAATCCCCACCTCCCCAGTGTCGCTAGTGTCCCTTGTTCATTTATAGATTATCTTCGCACTTACTCTTCAGGCCGGAATTATTTGCTGGTGAGTCTGTATGTACTATTGGCAAGTAGTATTGTGACTTTGTGGAATAAGTGTTTTGTGGAGCTTTCTCTTTATTATTTGAAGTTATATTTGTCTTTCTAGAAAGTGTCCTCATGTTCGCCACCATTTTGCCACCCCACTCCTCATGCCCCAGCAGTGGGCGTCATCATGAACACCGCTCTTGAGTAACTCCTGGGTGGTTCAGTTGGTTCAGCCTCTGGCCCTTGATTTCAGCTCAGGTCATGGTTTCAGGGTTGTGAGATTGAGCCCTGTGCTGAGCCCTGCTTCGCAGAGTCTGCTTGACATTCTCCCTCTCGCTCTGCCCCTCCTCCACTCATGGGTGCTCTCTTTCTCTCTCTGTCTAAAATAAATACACCTTAAAACAAATAAAAACACCAAACCAACCCATCCCCTCCTGGCCACTGGTGGATAATCTACCATTTGCAGTCTTGTGACTCACAATCCCATCTGGCCATTCATGTTTTGGAAAACTCATGGATAAAGTCAGGAGTACCTGGGTGGCTGGCTTAGTGGGTTAAAGCCTCTGCCTTCAGCTCAGGTCATGATCCCAGGGTCCTGGAATCAATCCCTGTATGGGGCTCTCTGCTCAGCAGGGAGCCTGCTTCCCTTCCTTTCTCTCTGCCTGCCTCTCAGCCTACTTGTGATCTCTGTCTGTCAAACAAATAAATAAAATATTTTAAAAAACCCCTCATGGATAAAGTCAATGAGATAACATGTTGGAGGTTTGTTAAATATCTAGAAATAGGAACGGTTAAGTATATTGTGATTCCATTCATTGGATAAAAATATTATACATCTAATATATCTTTATGGCATTTGTATAAAACAGAGAGATGCTTACATTAGGAGGAAAAGTAATCACAACTATGATGAAAAAATATACCCATGAACGAAGATACCAGAAAAGCAGAAGAGAAAGAAAGAAAAGGCCTGTGTAGAAATACTCTGAAATAGTATTTGTCCTTGGGCATTGGAAATATGGGTGATTATTCTGCATTTTCTTCCTATGTCCCTGCACTTAAAACTTTTTCTGTATCAAGCATGTATTGAATGCTTAAAATGGGAAAGATACTTCTATCTGCATTCCTACACAGATGGGCGAAAGGTGAAACCAATTTAATTTAGATACTTTCACCGGAACTGGAAATTTTATAAGGGGAAAAAAAATCCACACTTTTGTTCCTTTGGGGTGTGACAAGAGGCGGTGAAAAGAGAGGTGTAGATGGGAAGTGAAGGGAGAGGTGTTACACAGGCCACTCCTGCCTCACACTTAAAAGATATGCGACCACAGGCCAGAGAGACAAAAGTCAACAAGATAAAGTAGTTTTTAAATGGAGACTGAGGCCAAACAAGTTCTTAAAATGTCACTTTTCTAGTCAAAGAAAGGCAGCCTAAATAGTGGAGATTTAACTCCGCTTATTTAAAAATTATTTAAAAAAAGAAAGTTTATTGTTGACTTCTTTCATTATCAATGGAATTATAAAGCATATGTCATTTTCTGGAAGAATTCTTATGACAACAAAAGCTGAAAATCCTTTCAGGCCATTTGGGGAGATGTGCTAGTTTGAGAGTTCGCTATCTGGGGTGCCTTGGTGAAGCAATCCGTTAAGCATCTGACTCTTGATTTCGGCTCAAGTCACGATCTTGGGGTCTTAAGATCGAGCCCTGCATCCTCCTTCTCCCTCCGCCCTTCCCCCCAGCTCAAGTGCGCGCGCTCTCTCTCTCTCTCTCTCTCTCTCTCTCGCTCTTTCTCAAAACCATTTTTTGTTGATTGTAAGAAATCCCTGCCATAGACCCTGGAAATACCCAAAGTCAGTAACAACAATAATAATAACAACAGTTAAAGTGAGCTCTTTCCATGCACTCTGGAGTGGGTTTTCCTATGGAGAAAAGACTAGTTGAAAGTTTACTTTTACTTTTGTTTTATGATAGAGTTTGCAAGGATCCAGCGAACTATGGCCATGGGTCAAATTGACCCACTCCTGATTTGTATATATCCCATGGGTTAAGAATAGTTTTTACCTTTATAAAGGTTGGAAGAAACAGAGAGAATACTTTGTGACATGTGAAAACTGTATGAAATTCAAGTTTCAATGTAGTTGCCACAGAGATGATTATGTCCTGCTAAGTCTAAAATATTTACTTTGTGACTCTTTTTAGAAAAAGTTTGCGGACCAACAGTTTAAAAGGTTAGTGTTTAACTTATTCAAACAACAAATTCAAAACCTTGGCGTGTTCTTAAGCTTTTAAAAAACCAGGTGGTAGTTAACACTTCTCTGAAATCTCCACCAACACAATCAAGATACAGAATATTTCTATTACTCCCAAGAGATTCTGCATCCCTCCCTCTGCTCCCACAGCTCTAGGCAACCGCTGATCTGCTTTTATTACTATATATTAATTTGGATTTCCTAGAATTTTATGTAAATAGAACCATATACTAAGTACTCTTGTGTCTGCCTCTTTTTATCCAGCCTACAGATTTTGAGATTCATTCATATTGTTGTGAGTATTAGTAGTTTGTTCCCTTTTATTGTTATGCCTTTTAAAAAAGTAAACTTTTGGGGGCGCCTGGGTGACTCAGTCATTAAGCATCTGCCTTCGGCTCTGGTCATGATCCCTGGGTCCTGGGATCGAGCCCCACATCTGGCTTCCTGTTTGGTGGGAAGCGTACTTCTCCCTTTCCCATTCCCCCTGCTTGTGTTGACTCTCTTGGTATCTCTCTGTCAATTAAATAAATGAATAAAATCTTTAAAAAATAATAAAAATTAAGGTTTTTAATTTTTAGTTTAAAAATTCTGTGTTATAGAATATTTCTATATTTCAGCAAAAAAGGACAAAATAGTACATGTACACATTATTTCTTTTAGAGGTACTTCAATTACCTGTCAAGTATTAATTTTTATAAAGATAAACAATTCTGACACATATAATAAACTTTAAATTCTCTTAGATGTTCTGAAACTCAGCCTAAATTACATGAGATTTCAACTTAAAATCAGAGGTTTATATCAGTTACTCAATTATCTGTTTTATTTTATTTTTTTTAAAAAAATTATTAATTTGATAGAGGGAGAGAGAGAGAGGGAACAAGATGGGGGAGGGCGGAAGGGAGAGGGAGAAGCAGACTAAGCACTGAGCAGGGAGCCTGATGTGGGGCTCTGATCCCAGGACCCTGGGATCATGACCTGAGCCGGAGGCAGATGCTTAACCAACTGAGCCACCCAGGTGCCCCATTTTTATTTTTAAAAAGTTATTTATTTATTTATTTTAGTAATCTCCACACCCATTGTGGGGCTCAAACTCATGACTCTGAGATCAAGAGTAGCAAGTTCTTCCTACTGAGTCAACCAGGCACCCCTTGAGTACACTTTAAAATTTTTCTTAAAAGGAGGGTCTCTTAAGCCAAATTCTCTCACACATTTGTAGCACAGAAAATATCTAACATGCCCAGATTTCCTTTTTTTTTTTTTAAAGATTTTTATTCATTTATTTGACAGAGAGAGATCACAAGCAGGCAGAGAGGCAGGCATAGAGAGAGGAAGGGAAACAGGCTCCCCGCTGAGCAGAGAGCCGGATGCGGGGCTCGATCCCAGGACCCCGGGACCATGACCCGAGCCAAAGGCAGAGGCCTAAACCACTGAGCCACCCAGGCGCCCCCCAGATTTCCTTTTGATTACAGAACCAATTCTGTGATTTTTAAAAAAGATTTTATTTATTTATTTTACAGAGATCACAAGTAAGCAGAGAGCCAGGCAGAGAGGGGGAAGCAGGCTCCCCACTGAGCAGAAAGCAGGACCCCAAGATCACGTCCCCAGCCAAAGGTGGAGGCCCAATCCACTGAGCCACCCAGGCACCCCTCTGTGATGCTTTTGATTCTCCCACGTGTTCCATATTATTTTTCTGGAGTAGAAAAATATGAAGCATTGAAGACTGTCATCATTCCAGCTATGCAAAGTGATCGGCTAAGGAGGCAGATGTTGCCCCAACTAACTGGAGTAACTTAGAGCCAGAGATTTTGGTAGAACCTGAGTTTCCTTAAGTTGCAGACAGGAAAAGTTTTACTACCCCTACCATTATACCCCTCCTTTTTAAAAATACTATGCCCAGTATTCTTCAAAGCATGAAGGGTACTCATTTTGGATTCACACGAGGTCTGTAGCTTTCTCAAGTCCAGCCGTTCCTTGATTAGATTTGTAACTATTTATACTATATCTATATGTATATATATGTACACATATATATATACATACACATATATGCATATATTTGAGACTTTATTAGATAGAGCACAAGCAGGGGGAGCAGGAGTGGGAGAGGGAGAGGGAGAAGCAGGCCCCCCGCTGAGCAGGGAGCCAGAGTTGGGCACCATCCCAGGGTCCTGGGGTCATGTCCTGAGCTGAAGGCAAAGGCTTAACCCACTGAAGCACCCAGGCGCCGGGTGGTAACGTGAATTCGGTCATCTCACATGGGTTTGAGATGGATCTGCAGTCACAACTCATATAATAGCTAACTTATCAAGTGCTTCTGTGGTCCAGGCACAATCACAACTAAGTACCTTAACTTACAATGCTCACTTAATCTTAGGAACATTTTGCAGAAGAGGAAACAAGCTTACGGAGTCTGATTACTTTAACCCAATAGTGATAGTGTGAGTTCAGGAGTCGAACTAGGATCCAGCTCCTGCTACTTTCAGCTTCGAAAGATTCTACTTCGGGGTCTCTGCATCTTCCCGGTTCTCACAGATGTCTTCAGGTGTCAATTTCAGGGAAGTGGCTCCGCCCCGCCCCGTCCTGGGTAGAGGACGAGTTAAAAAAAAAAAAAAAACAAAAAAAAAACCACACTTCCCAGAGTGCACCGCGAGCGCGAAGGACTCACTATCGGCGTCCGCTCTCCGGCGCCATTTCTGTAGAGGGGAACGGCAGTGTGGCCTGTAATCATGGCGCTGTTCCCAGCCTTTGCTGGCATTGGTGAGGCTCCCAGTAGCGGCAGCGCCAGGAAAGGTAAGCATACAGAAGGGATGAAGAAGGCACTTGGCGGGCATACAGCGGAGTTTCTCAGTCCTAGGCCCTTGCCTTGGATTTGTTTATCCACCTCTATCCCAGAGTTCTCCGCGGCGCTGCGAGGACTTCTGGGAAGGGAAGCCTCCTCGCTCCGTCCTGGCCTCGGCTTTGAGTTGCACAGCAACAGACGGAGAAAGAGAGAAGGAGGAGAGGCCCTGGGGCTGGGGCTTCGATGTTGTCATGCTCTTGGACCCCATTCTTGCTTTGAGCCTCAGTTACTTCACCTGTGAAACGGAGATAATAGTACTCTACATCTCAAGGAGATTTCTGATGCAAATGCTGGGTGTTCTTATTACATCTTTCTTCCTTTCCCGTTTTACTTATTTCTGAACTTCTTAGTGGGTTCATAGCTTTTTGTCGACCTAGAGCTAGGGATTAGGATCCAAAGCCTAATCGAACGCAGTTTTTCTCCAGAGGGGCACAGAATCTGGGAATCAGAACTGTTTATTGAGGGTCCCCAGGTGATGGCATTCCATATTCTATTTAGCATTAAACATTCCCAGGCCATCTGCATTATTAAAGATTGCGATAGGGGATTGTCATTTGAAGTAATTAATCCTTGGGTGCCTGGGTAGCTCAGTGGGTTGAGCCTCTGCCTTTAGCTCAGGTCATGATCTCAGGGTCCTGGGATCAAGCCCCGCATTGAGCTCTCTGCTCAGCAGGGAGCCTGCTTCCCCCTCTTTCTCTGCCTGCCTCTCTGCCTACTTGTGATCTCTCTTTCTGTCAAATAAATAAATAAAATCTTTAAAAAAAATAATTAGTCCTAGATCATGCACTTACGTGGCAGAGTCCAATTGTGTCTCATACCTCTTTTATATCCTCTCATGGTTCCTTCACTTCTTTTTTGGTAATGCTGTTCATAATTTTGAGTAATTTCTTATATAATTAGTATAAGTTTTGGCTGTCTTTTACTGGATTGTAACCTCCATGTGGTCAGGGATAGTGTCTAACATTGTAACATACTTTGATCTGAGCATAAGTCTAGAATATAGTAGGTGTTCAACAAATGGTTGCTGAATATACAAACCAGTAATAGGTGATGTGGGAAACAAAGGCAGGAGAAACATTATTAAATTTTCTTACTACCTACAGCCCATTGACAAGTTCTTAAAATAAGTAGAGTGCTCTTCCTCTAGGAACTCCGCTGCCTCAATGTCTATACTTTGCTAAGGTCAAAAGGCCCTGGAACCCTTGCTTCCAAAATTCGTTAGTGACTCAGGCTATCCCTAACCCTCTCCCAGCTTGAAAGTATATAGTGGGCCACTCATTGTGACCCCAGTGCAGCTCTTTCTGCCCAAGGGTCCTGTCCCCTTGCTTTAATAAAGCTAGCTTTTTGCATCAAGGAGTCTCATGAATTCTTTCTTGGCCCTCATCTTCGAACCCTAACTTCTTCCCTACATCAATGTTTATTTTTAAAAAGTAACAGAAAAGGTCAGATGTAACAGATGTCACAGGTGAACTACAGGAATACTGACTTCTGAGAGGAGGTTCAAAGAAGGTTTATTTAGGAGATAACTTTGGCGATGGGTCTTCATGAAGGTAGGATTTGGACAGATGGAGATAGTGGAAGGACATTCCAGTTCCTTCAAAGAGATGCAGGAAGAAAACTGTGTGACCTATGCAGAAAATTACTAATAGCCCAGTTTGTTTGAAAATACAGAGGCATAAAGGGGAATCCTTTTGGGAAATGTGGTTGGGTCTGGTGGTGAGGGAGGGTAGTGACTTGAGTAACAGGTGAGAGGTTTATCCTTTATTTGGGGACGGTGAAATGGGAAGTTTACAGGGGAGTGTCACCCTTGTCATTTATCTTTTTTTTTCTTTTTAAAGTTTTTTTTTTTTTTTAAGATTTTATTTATTTAGTTGACAGAGAGAGATCACAAGCAGACACAGAGGCAGGCAGAGAGAGAGAGAGAGGGAAGCAAATTCCCCGCTGAGCAGAGAGCCCGATGCGGGACTCGATCCCAGGACCCCGAGATCATGACCTGAGCCGAAGGCAGCGGCTTAACCCACTGAGCCACCCAGGCGCCCCCCTTGTCATTTATCTTAACCAGTATTTATTGGACATGTTCAGGTAGTCAATGGCAGTATAATGTTTGTAGGAGAGCTTTTTATGCAGCCCTGTATTTTTAAAAAATTTGAATATTATCACTTGATGAAATTAACTGTAATTCTTTAATATCATCTGATTTCCAATCAGTTTTCATATTTCCCAAGTTGTCTCAAAAATGGCCTCTTAATGCTACTTCAAGACAGGATCCCCAAAGGATACAACACTGTATTTTGTGGATATATCTCTTAGGTGCTTTTAAAATATGAAACGGTTTCTCCTTTTCCTCCATTTTCCCTTGTGATATATTTGTTGAGGAAAATGGGTCATTTGTCCTTTAGACATTTCCCACCAGATCCTTCTGGTGATATTTAGCATGCTTCTCTATCCCAGTATTTCCTGTGAGCTGGCAATTAGATCTAGAGAGTTAATTAGATTCAGATATAATTTTCTAAATTGAAAATACCTGGTCGGGGTATTCGCTGTTGACTCTGGTCGGGAGGATGGGCTTTCGAGTTTTCTTTCAGAAATGTTAAGCTTGATCAGTGATTTCTTGGTCCATCCTGACTGAGGCATTATGGGGCTGCCCATCAGTCTTTCACCTAGTGATCTTTGCAGCCTTTTATAATTATTGCTTAGAGGCATTATTTCATTGGGGTCACAAAATGGTTATTTTCTAATTTTAAATTTTCCTCCTATATTAACATCAATTATTCTATAAACTTCCTGTCAACACTACTGCGATACCTTGAAATAGAATTCAGGCAGGAAAGACAGGATGAATGGTTGATTCATTTCCTTTGTCAGGGTTCAGAAAATGAGTTGGGGTCCCTGCAGCTTTTAGAGGTCTCAGATCCTCTTCATTATGAACTCTTGAATTTTTAACACTTGTATTTTAATCCATTGCACATACTGTTTTTCTTATGCTCGAATTATCCCATCTGTGGCTACTGGGAGCCTAATTAAGTTTGGTGTGTGTCTTTTTGACATGACCCAGATGTCTTAATTGCTTCCTTGCTTTCTGGCCTAAAAGATGCCCAGAGCTCATCACTTACATGTTTTGTTAGGGCCTGGAATTGGCTGTCTCTCTAAAAAACATGGTTTCTTTTAGTGGAAAATGATATGGGAAGGTTAAAACCACAGGTTGGTGTTTGGAGTACCAGTTGCGCTGGGTTGTCATTACTTCTAGACATTTTGGTCAAAACCAGGAAGAGAGAAGTATATCATGAATTCACCTTGGTATTTCCAGGCCTAATTTAAGATTGTGAGATTTTTTCTTTATTTCTTTTTATAATTTAATTTGTGATTTATACATACATTTGTAATTTAATGTTTATTTTTCTTTCCTTTGATGCTGAAAATCTTAGTTCCTGGGGCACCTGGCTGGCTTGGTGGGTGGAGTGTATGACTCTTGATCTTGGGGTTGTGAGTTTGAGTCCCATGTTGGGTGTGGAGATAAAAAATAACATCTGTTAAAAAAAAAGTCGGGGTGCCTGGGTGGCTCAGTTGGTTAAGCAACTGCCTTTAGCTCAGGTCATGATCCTGGAGTCCTGGGATCAAGTCCCACATCGGGCTCCCAGCTCCATGGGGAGCCTACTTCTCTCTCTGACCTTCTCCCTCTCATGCTCTCTCTCATTCTCTCTCTCTCTCAAATAAATAAAAATAAAATCTTAAAAAAAGTCGTAGTTCCTAATGCCACCAGTACAACTGTGTATATGTTCAAAATAACAGTAGTAATATGATTAATATAAATAGTTTAATATTTCATTGTGGTTCTTTTTGTCCTTAGGATGTATCCTGCAGCAGATGTGTGGTCAAATGGCCGTGTTTTAAAATCACTTGAAATAATTCTCTGCGTGGTTTTGTCACCAGTTTGACATATAGTTAGGTATAGTTGTTTTTAATTTTTAGGGATTGCTTTTTTTTCTTGTTTTTGAATTGATCCTGTTTTATAGTGTTCTGAAACATTTGCATGGTCCTGAGGTTGAAAATGTAAACCAGGTATATTCAGAGAAAAAAAAGGCTTTCATTTCTGTTCCTCCAGCCTGCTACTTTCTTTTTTCTGTGGGTTAGAATTTTAGTCAGTCAATGATATCCTTCCATTTTTTTCTCAATATGAGTAACTACATTTCTTTCTCTACCTTAAATGCAGGCTATTCTACATTTTATTTCTTTCTCTCTCTTTTTTTTTTTTTTTTAAAGATTCACTTCTTGGGGCGTCTGGGTGACTCAGTTGTTAAGTGTCTGCCTTCAGCTCAGGTCGTGATCCCAGGGTCCTGGGATCGAGCCCCACATCCCGCTCCCTGCTCAGCAGGAAGCCTCCTTCTCCCTCTTCCACTCCCCCTGCTTGTCTTCCCTCTCTTGCTGTGTCTCTGTGTCAAATAAATAAAATCCTTAAAAAAATAAATATTTACTTCTTTATTTTAGAATGAGAGAGAGCTCCAGCAAGCAGAGGGAGGGGCAGAGGGAGAGAATCCTGAAGCAGCCTCCCTGCTGAGCACAGGGCGTGATGCGGGGCTTAATCTCAGGACCCTGAGACCATGACCTGACCTGAAATCAAGAGTCAGACACTTAACCAGCTGAGCCACCCAGGCACCCCACTGTTATGCATTTTTTAATTTTTAATTTTTTAAAAAGATTTATTTTAGACAGCACAAGATTGGAGGGGCCAGAGGGAGAATCCTTTTTTTTTTTTTTTTTAAGATTTTATTAGAGAGAGAGAGAATGAGCAGGGGAGGGGCAGAGGACAAGCAGACTTCCCATTACGTGATGAGCTGGATGTTGGGCTCAGTCCTAAGACCCTGAGGTCTTGACCTGAGCTGAAGTCAGATGCTTAACCCACTGAGCCACCCAGGCGCCCCGTAGAGAGAGACTCTTAAGCAGATACCCTGCT